AGATTGAGCCCGGTTAGGAATAGAAGACAGGAGAGAGAGGGGGGGGGGGAAGAGAGAGAGAGAGAGGGAGCATAAAAGACGGAGCCAATATTGGTTTGAGATAAAATTGAACACAGAGAAAGGTATAGAGAACTACAAGACTGCAGCAAACACCCTTACATAAACACTGAGTCGAAGTAGAACACAGATGCAGATGGAGAGGACAAGACCAGGCAGCAAAAACACATAGAGACAGCTTACCTGAACAAGGAGGAGCTAACTACCAGACTGATAGCTGGGAAGCCAGCATGGGACTGACTCAGGACCCCCTGAATATGGGTCTCAGCCAGAAGGACTGAGCAGTCTAAGGGACCTCAGACAGTGGAGCCAGGATGTATCCCTGGTGCACAAAGTACCTTGCTAACACATCCCCCATAAAGGGATAACTGCCTTAACCTAGACACAGGAGAGAAGCCCTAGTCCCTACTTCATATGACCTGTCAGAGCTACATAACCACAACTGGATGGCATTCCCCTACATATGGAATTGGGGTGGGGGGATTGGAAGGGAGGGTGGCTAGGGTGCATGTGAGAGGGCAGAGGGGGTAAAAGGGAGGGAGGGAGGGGAGGAAGGAGGGAGAGAGGAAGACTGAACTGGGATCGACATGTAAAATAATAAATAAAAAAAATGCTTTGACTCCAAAATTTAAGTTCAAGGACAAGATACTGGGGAAAAGGATATCTATTTTAGATTCCACAGAAAATGAAAAGCTATGGATTCCTTCCAGACTAATGTGGTTTGATCAAGCCAGACCACCTGAAACAGAGTAGGAGGTGATCCTACATTCAAAACAGCTGGACAAAGCAGCCTTACAGACTACAGCCAGGATTTCTGAATCTTCTTCAAATCACCCATGACAGCGCCCCTCACCAGCAGGAAGTAGTTTGGAAAGAATGGCACCCAAATTCCCAAATATTGTCTATAAATGTTTGTTTTCAGTTAAATGGACTTGGCTATATAAAATAAATAAATAAAAAAATAAACAAACTGAAAAAGAAAAACCACATGAACATCTCCCTAGATGCTGAAAAAGCCTTAGACGAAATTCAACACCCTTACCCTTTCATGATAAAGGTCTTGGAGAGATCAGGGATAACAGGAACATACCTAAACATAATAAAAACAATATACAGTAAACCAACACCCTTCATTAAACTGAATGGAGAGAAGCATAAGGCAATTTCCTCTAAAATCAGGAACAATATAAGGCTGCCCTTTTCTCCATTTCTCTTCAATATTGTACTTGAAGTTCAAGCTAAAGCAATAAGACACCAAAAAGAGATCAAGGGACTCCTAATTGGAAAGGAAGAAGTCAAACTTTCTCTATTTGCAGATGATATGATAGGTTACATAAGTGGTCCAAACAACTCTACAAGGGAACTCATACAGCTGATAAACACCTTCAGCAAACTAGCAGGATACATGATAAACTAAAAAAAAAAAAAAAAAAAAAAAAAAAAGTATCAGTATCACTACTTTATTTAGAGGACAAACTGGCTGAGAAAGATATCAGAGAAACATCACCCTTTACAATAGCCACAAACAACACAAAGTATCTCTTAGGGTAACAATTATCAAAGAAGTGAAAGACAAATTTAATAAGAACTGTGTGTCTTTAAAGAAAGAAATTAAGAAGATACCAGAAAATGGAAAGATATGCCATGCTCTTGGATAGGTAAGATAAATATAGTAAAAATGGCAATCTTGCCAAAAACAACGTATAGATTCAATGCAATCCCTATTAAAATCCCAGCACAATTCTTCACTGACCTTGAAAGTACAACAATCAACTTTATATGAAAAAACAAAAGACCCAGGCTAGCCAAAACAACCCTGTACAATAAAGGAACTTCAGGAAGTATCACCATCCCCGACTTTAAGCTCTACTACAGAGCTATAGTTCTGAAAACTGCCTGGTATTGGCACAAAAATAGACAAGTAGACCAATGGAATTGAATTGAAAGTCCTGATATTAACCCACACACCTATGAATACATGATTTTTGAAAAAAACAGCTAAAAGTATACAATGGGGGAGGAAAGTATCCTCAACAAATGGTACTGGCACAACTGAATGAGGGTGTAGAAGACTGCAGATAGACCCAGGTATATCGCCATGCACAAATCTCAAGTCCAAATGGGTCAAAGACTTCAATATAAATCCATTCACACTGAACCTTTTAGAAGTGGGAGGTACCCTTGAAAGAATTAATACAAGAGACCACTTCTTGAACATAACTCCAGTAACACAGACACTGAGCTTGACAATTAATAAATGGGACCTCCTCAAACTGAGAAGCTTCTGTAAGGCAAAGGATACAGTGGACAAGACCAAATGGCAGCCCACATATGGGAAAAGATTTTCACCAATCCTACATCTGACAAAGGATAATCTCCAAAATATACAAAGAACTCAAGAAACTAGTCAACAAAACACTAAATAACCCTATTAAAAAAAAAAAAAAAGGCTGGAAGACACTTAAGAAAGTGCTGAACATCCTTAGCTATCAGGGAAATGCAAATCAAAACAACTTTGAGATACCATATTAGTCCTGCAAGAATAGCTAAAATTAGAAACGCCAATGTCTACTCATGCTGGAGAGCATGTGGAGAAAGGGGAATGCTGCACTCCTCCACTGCTGGTGCTAGTGCAAACTTGTACAGCCATTATGGAGATCAGTATTGCAGTTCATCAGGAAAATGGGAATCAGTTTACCACAGGACCCGGCAATCCCCCTCTTTGGCATACATGCAAATAATCTTCATCCATGCAACAAAGACTATGTTCAACTATGTTCATAGCAGCACTATTTGTAATAGCAAGAACCTGGAAGCACCCTAGTTGCCCCTCAACTGAAAAATGGATAAAGAAAATGTTGGAGTTTATTTTATTTTTTTACATATCAATCCCAGTTCCCTCTTCTTCCCTCACTTATTCCCTCCCTTCCTCCCTCTTTTCCTCTCTGCCCCCTTACATACATCCTTACCACCCTCCCCTCCCATGCCCCCACCCCTATTCCACATGTAGGGTGATACCATCCAGGAGGGGTCATCTAAATCTGTCAAGTCATTTGAAGTAGGAATACTACTCTGTGGAAAAAACAAACAAACAAACAAACAAACAAAAAACGGAATCTTGAAATTTACAGACAAGTGGATGGAACTTGAAGAAACCATCCTGAATGAGACAACACACTCACAAATAGAGGAACATGGTATGTACTTGCCCATATATGGATTTTAGACCTAGAGCAAAGGATCACCAGCCTATAATTCACACCACCAGAGGAAATAGGATACAAGGTGTATTCTAAGAGATGCATATAAGGTGCCTCACAGAAGGGGGAAGGGACAAGTTTTCCAGAGAACATGGGGACTGGGGGGCAGTGAGTGGAGAGGGAACTAGGAAAAAGAGAAGGGAAGGATAGGAAAGCATGTGGGACTAGGATGATTGAGTCAGGGGAGGAATAGAAGACAGGAGTGAGAGAGAGGAGTGAGAGGGGAGAGGGAGAGGGAGAGAGAGAGAACATAAAAGAGGGAGCCATTATAGGATTGAAAATAAAATTGAATCTAAAGAAATGTCCAGACGCCTACAAGACTGACTCCAACTAACAATTTGAGCCCTCATCTAATACCTGTTGGAAACTGAAGCAAACACCCACAACTAAACACTGAGTTGAACTAGAATCCAGATGCAGAGAGGGAGGACAAGACCACACTGCAGACACACATAAAGATAGCTGACCTGAACAAAGAGGAGCTAACAGGCCCCAGACTGATAGCTGGGAACCCAGCATGGGATTGACTCAGACCCCCTGAACATGGGTCTCAGTTAGAAGGCCTGAGCAGTCAAAGGGATCAAAGACCGTGGAACCAGTATGTATTCCTGATGCACAAAAGGACCTTGTGGGCACATTGCCCTTGGATAGATACTCCCTTAACCTAGAGACAGGAGAGAAGTCATAGTCCCTACTTCAAATGACTTGACAGATTTAGATGACCCATCCTGGATGGTATCACCCTACATGTGGAATAGGGGTGGGGGCATGGAAGGGGAGGGTGGTCAGGATGCATGTAAGGGGGCAGCGAGGAAAAGAGGGAGGGAGGGAATAAGTGAGGGAGGGAGAGGGAACTGGGATTGATATGTAAAAAAATAAAATAAACTCCAATATACAAGGGCATAAAGAAATGCCAATGAGAAAGCAGAAGTATAGAGATGAACCCTAAGAAGTATCTTCATGTTGCATTGGGAGAGATCCAAATTTCTAACTGATCTCATTATGATCTACAAGAAAGCACCTTTAGCCTAACATAGAGAAGGATTTCTGAAAATCAGAGGTACCCAGAAAATGGGCATGTCAACCAGGGGAACTAATTTTATAATATCCATGGTGCCATAGCAAACTAAAACAGACTGGCTAGCTGTAAATAGAAATTCATTTTGTCTCAGTTCTAGGACATGGAAGTCTGAGTAGTTGAAGTCAAGTTCCTGAGTTAAGTACATTCACAGTCCTTCTTCTGAATTCATGTGTCCTAGTCTTATATGTTTATCACAAGCCATATTGTATTAGAGTCCACCACAATATGCTACTTTAGTTTAATCTTCTCTTTTTAAATTTTATCTACAAATAGTCCTATTTCAAAGTATCAAGGGTTAGAGCTTTAAATAGAAATTTTAGGTGGGATGTAGTACAGATCATAACATAATCTGCCAACAAGAATATAGAAAAAGAGTTGGGGAGTGTGGGGTAACAGAAACTGAAGTATCTAACTTGGGATGTCCTTGGAGGCTCCGATAGTTATGAAGCTAAACCAAATGCCTGCTATTAAACATTTTAAATGTTCTCATATTTTGGGCAAAATTACATTTTCACAGCATGCTCTTGTATAGCCTCCAGGTCAACATACAGGTGGTCAAGGACACACAAATCCAGGAGAGTGCAAGCAGAAACTGTTCTTACCTGTGGAAGAGGACTGACTTGACCAGGGTGACAACATCTCTGCTGGCATTGTATCCTGCACAGACAATGGCCACATGGATGGTCTGAGAGAAAAGGAACAGAAAATGAACTCTCAAACAAAAAGAAGCAGGCTTTCCTGTCTTTTAGGCCCACAAGAGAAAAAAATCATCCTGATTTTCTGTATTCGCCTACAGTAATGGCTAATAACTTGAAATGGTTTTATTAAAGTCTTTTTAATTGGCTTACGGGGCTATCACCCTTTGTAGGTCATTAAGGCTATTATCAATTACATTTTAGAGATGGTTACAATGGTTACTGGCTCAAATAGGTAAATATTGAGCCTGCTATTCCCAACCAGGAGACAATGGCAAATAGCAAAATAGAATAAAATGTGTTTCCATATACCAACAATCAGAGATTTCATACTGACAATTTGTGATTTAGAATATGAACTTTTTTTCTGAAATGGCTTAGAGTAGTAAGGTCAAACTGAGAGCAGGCCACAGGAACCAAGGAGTAGTTCAGTGCTCCATCTGGGACACCATTCTAGGAATTAAGATGGGCATTGCCAGTCATCTCATTGAAGCTGTTGGAAGCATTAACCACAAACGGGAATCTTGACCCTGCGTTTAATCCCAGGTTTCTCCGGAAAAGCTTAAGGGCCAGCAAATAACTGCAATATAAGGCATGATTATCACTTATGTTTGGTGGCTTTGTTAAAATACCTGACTAAAGCAACTTTCATGAGAATAGATGTATTTTGGCTCATGGTTTAAGGGCCCACTCAACAGCAGAGAGAACATGAAGCTGATTGCATATATCTTGGAGAATCAGAAAGCACTTGTCTGATCTTTTTCAACTTGTATTCATTCAGCTTGAATATCTAATCCATGGAGTGACTTGACCTATGCTGCAGTTAAGTCTTCCATTATTAGTTGTTTCTCTCTAAAAATGACCTCAAAGATATACCCAGAGATGTACTACCTAGTGACTCTAAGTCCAACCAAATAGAAGATGGAGTATAACCACTAGAAGTCCATGTGCCAACCTGACACCAAATACTTAAAAAAAAAAAAAAAAAAAAAAAAAAAAAAAAAAAAAAAAGAAAGAAAGAAAGAAAGAAAGAAACATAAAATTCCACATCTGATCCTCAAGGGGTCACAGCCATGTAAGAATGAAAAATAGATTATTTTAATCTTTGAAACTGCTGTAAGCCTTAACATTTCATCATGGTTCAAGAGTCTGAAGTAAAGCCTCTTTTGAGAATCAATTACTTATGAAATCAGAAAGTGAATCAGACACAGATAATATTAAATAATCTCATTTGAAAAGGGAGCAATGAAAGAAACTCAAGGACAAACTAGACTACAGCAAGAATGAAACCAAGCAGAGGAAACAACAAAGGTTGAAGTTACTTGTCTAGCAACTAGTACTGAACATGACATTACTTAGGTACAATATGTTTGGAAGTTTCATCCTTCCAGTAGAGTTCCTTGTGGCAACTTCAGCTTCCCCTTTAATCTACCTCTATTGTATACCTGTAGCTTTTCTTGGGAGAATATCCCTAGTTGTTGGCATTGCCTAATATCCTAGGATCGGTACCACTAAATAGTTTGAACTTCACAGAGGCATACACAGCCCTATTGGGCATTCCATATAAAAAAAATCTAAGGCAACAACAGATTACCTCAAGTAAGTGGCTCTCTGGTGCCATTATATAAGTCCTCATGAGTCATTCTTGAATTATGCTGGTAGAGTGTTACTCTGTAAGTGAATTACAAGTGACAAAAATATCTCTTTATACTCTTAAAGCTGTCAGTCAGGTTGGCTCTTTCCAAAGTTTAACAAGTTTTGTTTTGTTTTTAAAACTAATTTTAAATGGGGTGGGGGTGAGGAGAGAGGAGAGGGGGGACAAAAGGGAAGAAACAGGAGGAGGAAGGAAGGGAGGGAAAGAGAGTCTCCCTCTTACCAAAGATTGAGCTGAGCACTTGAGTACTCCCTGCTAGCTTTGGGCTGATTTTCATGCTTCCTTCCTATTCATCAACTTCCTTTTCATCTGCTGCACTATCCAGACATTGCCTTCTATATTTGACATGTTTTAAGCAAGACTGAGAATGAATACTCTAGTCTAAGACAACTTTAATAAAACATGATCTGCTAAAGAATGCAGGGTCCCTTCCTTTCCATTGTCCCTCCTCTTGAACAACAGCCTTACTTTAGTCAAAACACATCTTTCAAAAGCCATTTCCAACATATTCTGTCCTACAAGCACTGCTGAAGGATGATCCTGCTTCCCACCTAATCCATAAATTGAAGAATGGGTGGCTGACAGTGATGAGTTAGTCTTTTTTGCTGTTATATGATAACATAACCTAACAAATACAATTAAAAGATGATTTGGCTTATATGGCTCATAAGTCCATGTTAAAATCCATCACTGTAGGGAATGCAACACTGCAGGAGATGGATAGAAGTAGTCACATTACATCCAAAGTCAAGCACAGAGCAATGTATTAATACATACACACTAGTTCTTTGGCTCTCCCTATACTCATACTGCCAGAATAACAAGCAAAGGAAATGGTGCTGCCTACAATGTGCAGGCCTTCTTACACCAACCACAACAATCAACACAATCCCTCACAGACATGCAGAAAGGTATTTCTCAGATGATTCTAGATTGTGTGAAATTAAAAGTTAAAATCAGCCATCACAATAGCTCTTCCGAAAGCCCATGCTATCACACCATAGCTTCCCCAGACTTACTAGTATCTTGAGCAGTTACTCTAGCTGCCTTGTTAGACTCTTTGTGCAATGACCTCTGACTAACAGGAATTCTTCACTACCACATTTAATATTACCATGAGAACTACATCTATCAAACACAAACCATAAACCCTTCACCAGCCTCAATTCATTCCCATAACCTCTCTGATACCAATAACCTTCACTCACTCTCTGACCACCCCCACCACCCCACTGTTAGCAGCTTCACCAGACCATCACTGTCTCAGAATATCTGTGTTCATGTGCTTGCTGCATCTACAGGACTTTTTATTTTTTTTAACTTATTTATTCCTGTGTCTTTCACATCAAGCATCTGGATCCCATTCATTTCCCCCATTTCTTCATAGCTACCTTCTGCCCTTGCAATTTTTCCCTAAAACATAAAAGATTAAAAAAAAAAAATAGGAAAAAATCTTGTCATAGAAGTTGTAGTGTGAATACAGTGAGTCATGCAGCAAACCCTTTTATTTATATTATCTTTATTTTGCAAGTGTTCATTGCAAAATGTCACTGGTCTGGTTTGAGGCATTACGTTTCTGCTATGCTATCGACACTGGGCCTTCATTGGAACGCCTCTTGGATATATTGCTGATGCATGTGTTAAGGAAACACTACAGCTTTGGGTCTGAAGAATCAGCCCCTTCACATGCTCCAACACATCACAGATGGGTAGATATACAGATATTAGGGTGGGACAACACATAAATCTGGTTATGGGCCTCGGTGGTTTTTCTTTCTGTCCTTTTCCTTATGAAAATTGAAAGATAGACACCCACACACATGCATACTTTCTTCATTGAAAAAGAGAAAGACAAGTACTTCTGCTAGAAAATTAAATTTTTTTTTTTTTTTTTTTTTTTTTTGTAAATTCCAATCCCAATTCCTCCTCCATCCTGTCCTACCAATCCCTCCATTTCTTGCACTATGTGCCCCTCACCAATCTTGTCCACTAAGAGGGTAAGGCCTCCCATAGGAAGTGGACTAAGTCTGTCCCATTATCTCTTGGGGCAGGACCAAGGCTTCTCTCCACTCCCACACCCCTGTGTCTAGGCTCCAATAAGTCAGTTTGTGCATTAATGTTAGATCTTGGACCCACTGCCAGTGGCCTCATATATAGCTCCAGCCACACCATTGTCACCTATATCAAGGGAGTCTAGTTTGGTCTTATGCAGGTTCCCCATTTGTCAGACCTAAGTCAGTGATCTCTCACTAGCTTGGGTTATCTGATTCTGTAGGTTTCCCCAATCATGGTCTTGACTCCTTTCTTCATATTATCTCTCCTCCATAACTTCCATTAGTTGTGGATTTCTGCAACTGTTTCCATGTATTTCTGTAAGAGGGTTCTTTACAGCTCAGGTGGACACTCCTCCAACTGGAGGTGTAGCTTAGGCTGAGGCAATGTAGTAGCAGGGTATCTCCCACCAAGAAATGGCAGTGGATGCTAGCTGGGACACAGGTGCTCTTTTCCAGTGGAACTTTTTACAATAGCTTCTGGAAGCAACTGTTGGAAAGTGGTGCTCTTGATTCATCTGGTGGCCATGTCTCACTCCTGGGGCTGAGGCTGGAGCCTCACTATGACACTGTTCCAGATTCTGAGGCTCGTGGCTCTCTTGATACTGTTCCAGGCCTGAAGCTTGGGGCTTCCTCTGATGCTGCTTCCAGGCTCTGACATTCCTCCCAGTTCTGAGACTCGTGGCTCCCTTGACAATGTTCTGGGCCTGAAGCTTAGGACTTTCTCTGAAGCTGCTTCCAGGCTGGCTAGAAAATTAAATCTTAAGAAGAAAGGTAGCTGTGTGTAGGTATAGGTGTGTGTGTGTGTGTGTGTGTGTGTGTGTGTGTGTCTGTCTGTCTGTAGGTGAATGTGTTCAGGTCATTGCAGATATTTCAGCTACTTCAGCTCAGTAATTTGTGCATTTCTTAATTTCTGCACCTGAAGAAGGAAGGCATCATTACTTATCTCTAGATGATAATTTCCCCAAAAGACTCAAAATGAAAGATGACTGTGTATGTGATAGCCACCATTTTAATTATGAAAAGAATGAATGACAAAACACTTACATATTGGGACACAGAAGTGGGAGAGGAGGCAGAAAACACTAGAATTGGGCTCTTCTGAATCCCAAATTTTTAAACATGTGGCCTCTGATATATCAAACACACCCTCAAAATATTTTATATGACTTTCTAATCTCTTCAGTTTCAGCCAATACACCTCCAGCTATGAATAAATTCATCATCTAGAGCCAGAGCAGAAGGGAGTAGCTACCTAAGTGAGGAGAAAATCAACATCAGAAGG